GACACACTCCCTGGCCTCAGCCATGACACTCAGATGCTTGTCCCCTACAGCATTCCATTAGGAAGATTTTCAAACATCTGGAAAAGAGCAGCCTTTGGACATCAAAGCCTCGTCTCACCCCGAGGTCTGCCTGCTTTATCTCACAGCCGCTGCTCTCCATTCTCCATCTACCCATGTCACCTTTTTATGCTGACGTCAGTCTGCTCTGTCCCAAGCACTGCAGCAGGCACAGCCTGAACCAGCGCTGGATGGTGTTTTTGTTGTTGTTTTTGGTTTTTCTTGAGATGGAGTCTCGCTCTGTTGCCCAGGCTGGAAGTGCAATGGCACGATGTCGGCTCACTGCAACCTCTGCCTCCTGGGTTCAAGTGATTCTCCTGCCTCAGCCTCCAAAGTAGCTGGGACTACAGGCACGCGCCACCACACCTGGCTAATTTTTTGTATTTTTAGTAGGGACAGGTTTCACCATGTTGGCCAGGCTGGTTTCGAACTCCTGACCTCATGATCCGCCCACCTTGGCCTCCCAAAGTGCGGGGATTACAGGCGTGAGCCACCGTGCTCGGCGAGTGCTGGATGTTTTGCAAGTAACACCCCATGTGGAGTCACACCATAGAATGGGTGAAGGGGGAGTGTCTGGGTTCATGGAATGGAGGCACCTCACCTGGAGCAACCACCTCACTCTGGCTTAAAAATGAAAAGGCCCTTGTCTTGGCGCAGTGGCTCACACCTGTAATCCCAGCACTTTGGGAGGCTGAGGTAGGTGGCTCACCTGAGGTCAGGAGTTTGAGACCAGCCTGGCCAACGTGGCTAAATCCTGTCGCTACTAAAAATACAAGAAATAGTTGGGCGTGGTGGTGCATGCCTGTAACCCCAGCTATTCAGGAGGCTGAAGCAGGAGAGTCACTTGAGCCAGGAGAGGAAGGTTGCGGGGAGCCAAGATTGCGCCATTGCACTCCAGCCTGGAAGCCCCTGCAAGAGTCCTGGGTGAAGCGGACAGTTGGTCTCCCAGCCTCACCCTACATGGGCACCCGAGGCCCCTTTGCTGGGGCTCCTGGGCGTTCTGAGGTGCATGGGTTGAAAACCCTATGGGCACCTCTCTGGCCTGGTTCAACCTGTCTTCTCCTGTCCAGAGGCCTCTCTCCCATAGTCCAGGTCAGAAACAGCTGACCCTGGCCACCACACCACTGGGCAGGGAGCTTTCCTGCCACCCCCATGTGGCAGTGCAGACCATACCCTAGGGATCCCGGACAGCCATCCAGTGGTCAGGATTCAAAGAAAGAGAGAGGATAGGGGAGGGGAACAGAGAAAAAAAGCGCCCACCTAGCTACCTATATCAGGGGCATCAACCCAGCCTACATCAGGGCTGGCCTTCCTGGGAGCACTGGGATCTGCAGCATGGTGGAGAGGGTGCACACGGTCACCTGGGGTGGGGCACCTGTGTATAGTGAACGAATGAGGGAGTGAGTGAGCGTGTAGTGAACGAATGAGGGAGGGAACGAGCGTGTAGTGAATGAATGAGGGAGTGAGTGAGCGTGTAGTGAATGAATGAGGGAGGGAACGAGCGTGTAGTGAATGAATGAGGGAGTGAGTGAGCGTGTAGTGAACGAATGAGGGAGTGAGTGAGCGTGTAGTGAACGAATGAGGGAGGGAACGAGCGTGTAGTGAACGAATGAGGGAGGGAACGAGTGTGTAGTGAATGAATGAGGGAGTGAGTGAGCGTGTAGTGAATGAATGAGGGAGTGAGCGTGTAGTGAACGAATGAGGGAGGGAACGAGCGTGTAGTGAATGAATGAGGGAGTGAGTGAGCGTGTAGTGAACGAATGAGGGAGGGAACGACCGTGTAGTGAATGAATGAGGGAGTGAGTGAGCGTGTAGTGAACGAATGAGGGAGGGAACGACCGTGTAGTGAATGAATGAGGGAGTGAGTGAGTGTGTAGTGAACGAATGAGGGAGTGAGTGAGCGTGTAGTGAATGAATGAGGGAGTGAGTGAGCGTGTAGTGAATGAATGAGGGAGTGAGCGAGCGTGTAGTGAATGAATGAGGGAGGGAGCGAGCGTGTAGTGAATGAGGGAGTGAGTGAGCGTGTAGTGAATGAATGAGGGAGTGAGTGAGTGTGTAGTGAACGAATGAGGGAGTGAACGAGCGTGTAGTGAATGAATGAGGGAGTGAGTGAGCGTGTAGTGAATGAATGAGGGAGTGAGTGAGTGTGTAGTGAATGAATGAGGGAGTGAGTGAGCGTGTAGTGAATGAATGAGGGAGTGAGTGAGCGTGTAGTGAATGAGGGAGTGAGTGAGCGTGTAGTGAATGAATGAGGGAGTGAGTGAGTGTGTAGTGAACGAATGAGGGAGTGAACGAGCGTGTAGTGAATGAATGAGGGAGTGAGTGAGCGTGTAGTGAATGAATGAGGGAGTGAGTGAGTGTGTAGTGAATGAATGAGGGAGTGAGTGAGCGTGTAGTGAATGAATGAGGGAGTGAGTGAGCGTGTAGTGAATGAGGGAGTGAGTGAGCGTGTAGTGAATGAATGAGGGAGTGAGTGAGTGTGTAGTGAACGAATGAGGGAGTGAACGAGCGTGTAGTGAATGAATGAGGGAGTGAGTGAGCGTGTAGTGAATGAATGAGGGAGTGAGTGAGTGTGTAGTGAATGAATGAGGGAGGGAGTGAGCGTGTAGTGAATGAGGGAGTGAGTGAGCGTGTAGTGAATGAATGAGGGAGTGAGTGAGCATGTAGTGAATGAATGAGGGAGGGAGCGAGCGTGTAGTGAATGAATGAGGAAGTGAGTGAGCGTGTAGTGAATGAATGAGGGAGTGAGCGAGCGTGTAGTGAATGAATGAGGGAGGGAGGAGCTTGTAGTGAATGAATGAGGGAGGGAGCGAGCGTGTAGTGAATGAGAGAGTGAGTGAGCGTGTAGTGAATGAATGAGGGAGTGAGTGAGTGTGTAGTGAATGAATGAGGGAGTGAACGAGGAGCTCACTCTGCAGGCACCGACTGCAGGAACACAGGCTTGGGTGGGGGCTGGGGATGCCCATGGGGTCTGGTGCGAGGTTATGCACTCAGATGGGGGCCAGGCATGAGGGAGGGTGGCCAGGAAGAGGGAGGCCAGGTCTCCAGGGTGTGGATGTGCTGGGGACGCTGAACGTTGGGAGTCCAGTCCGGAGGCCAAACTGGTAGGATCCAGTGGACACATTGACAGGTGGTCGTGACTATGAGGAACCCTCTCCCTCCACCCACCTCCACCGATACCCAAAAGGACCTGGCGATTCCTTCCAATTGAGGTGTATTTTGTACAGCAAAATGGAAGCCCCTACGTCATGGCTCAATTCATTCTGATGTGAAGCACTCAGGTAACCAGCATCCCAGAACGCTTCGGCCAGGCTGGCGGGGCATAGCTTCCCTGACGACAGGCGCATTCCCTGTCTAACTGTCCCACTCAGGGGAGCCACGGGGCCACACATGAAGCATGGCTGGTGCCACTGAAAGACTGAACTTTACGTTTCTTGTATTTTAATTAATTTTAAACTTAATTGCATCAATGTAAAAGGCACAGGTGTGGAATGGCTTTCACCAAAGCAGAGCACAGCCTGGGAGCTGCTGCCATCTGGAGCCGTGGAGTGAGGTGGCCACGGTGCTGACCTTGCCCTCGGATGGGTGTTGCCTGCTCTTGGGCTCAGATTAGGGGGTTCGGAGGGCCCCAGGAGCATCTCATGGTTGAGCGCCCCTCCTCCCTATGTGCGCACCCGAGCCCAGGCCTTGGTTTCTGAGCAGCATGGCACCCTAGAGGCAGCCTTCATTTGTTTATTCATGCTCCTATTGATGGATGGTTGGGTGGCTTCCAAGTTCCTGCTCTCAGGCTCAAAGGCCTGGGAAGATTCCTGAACACGTCTCATTGTGGACACGTGTTTACATCTGGGGGTACATAGCCAAGTGCAGGCCTGTGGGCTGGCCAGATGGTCCTGAATTTCACAGCGATTTCTGCACTGGGTCACCCCTACGCCCCAGAAGCCAGGCCTCCTCCTCCAATCCCTGAGCCAAGGCCACCCCTCCTCCGGGCAGCCCCCACCTGACCCAGTCCCCGGCCTTGAGTCTGCCCGTGGCTCCAGGTCAGCCTGGTGTGAACATGGCCCGTGCAGTTGTGCTGGGCAGGAACCTAGGGCTGCGTCATTTCCTGTTGCAGATCTGGACAACTTAGATTCTGAGCTGAGTGTTGGGGATAGGGCCGGGCAGGGTCCTGGCCTCCTCATAAAATCAGACTTCCAGATAAGACATGTAGAAAAACACATGGATGATATCAAAACATCTAGAAAAAAATGAAATAGGCAGCACTGAGTGTTTGTTCAGCACAACATACAGGCTTAAGGGCTGGGCAGGGGGGCTCATGCCTGTAATCCCAGCACTTTGGGAGGCTCCGGCCGGAGAGTCGCTTAAGGCCGGAAGTTTGGGGCTGGCCTGGGCCACAGAGCAGGGCCTCGCCTCTACAAAATGTGGAAATGAAAGTTAGCTGGCTGTGCCGGTCCCTGTGGTCCCAGCAAATCTCAGGCTGCCGTGAGCCGAGATCGCACCGTTGCACTCCAGCCTGGGCAACAGAGTGAGATCCTGTCTCAAAACAAGTTTAGAAGGCATGGTTTATAGACATTATTTTAGAAGCCGTAGGGAATCTTTAATAGGGATTTTTTTTTTTTTTTTTGAGTCAGAGCCTTGCTCTTGTTGCCCAGGCTGGAGTGCAGTGGTGCGATCTCAGCTCACTGCAACCTCCGTCTCCCGGGTTCAAGCAGTTCTCCTGTCTCAGCCTCCCACGTAGCTGGGACTACAGGCTACCGCACCCAGCCTCTGATCAGGATTTTAAGTAAAAATTCTCTTACTTGCAAAATAAAACAATCATATTTCCTTCATGATGAAAGCTGCATCTCGCCCCCCAAATGCGCTGGAGCCCCCGGAGCAGGTCTGGGGCCTGCTCGTCTGTGCTGCCGTCCCAGTGCCACACTCACCGCTGGCTCTTGCCCTCACAGGTCACTGGCGGTCGGGCCGCAGTACTCCTCCCTGGGCTCGCAGCCCATCCTGTGTGCCAGCATCCCGGGCCTGGTCCCCAAGCAGCTGCGCTTCTGCAGGAACTACGTGGAGATCATGCCCAGCGTGGCCGAGGGCATCAAGATCAGCATCCAGGAGTGCCAGCACCAGTTCCGAGGTCGCCGGTGGAACTGCACCACCGTCCACGACAGCCTGGCCATCTTTGGACCCGTGCTGGACAAAGGTACGGGGTGGTCTCGGGGAGGGCAGGAGAGTTTGGAGCGGGACGGAGTCTCCTGCCTGGTGCTCCCTGGCATTCTCGTCTGTGCACACAGAGGGAACGGCGCCTCACACGGGCGCTGGGGTCTTTCCCTCTTACCTTGGGGAGGCTGGTCTGAGGCTGGAGCAGGACTGAGCCTGCGGGGTCATTCAGGTATCCCTCCTCCTTCTGCTCCCTGGAGAGGAAAGCAGGCGTTCTTAGGGTGATTCCACCGCCCCAGCAGCGGGGCTGCTCTCAGGAGCCAGGGAACAGGCCAGGCTTGCAGAGGAAATACACAAACTTAAAGACCCACAAGAAGGGAGAGGTTTGGGGACACCCTGGGGAAGAAAGAGCGACAGAAAGAGAGACAGACAGAGACACAGAGAGAGAGGAACGGAGAGATGGAGAAAGATAGAGACACGGCCATGCAGAGAGAGCAGAGAGAGAGACACACACAGAGACAGACAAACACAGAGAGAGACAGAGAGGGACAGAGAGACTGAAGGAGAAAGATACAGAGGAATAGAGAGACAGAGCCACAAAGATGCAGAGAGAGACAGAGAGACACAGAAATAGAAAGAGAGACAGAGTGACAGAGAGAGACACGCAGAGAGAAACTGAGACACAGACACAGAGAGAGACAGACACAGAAAGAGAGACAAAGAGTGACAGAGACACACAGAGAGAAACAGAGACAGAGAGACGCAGAGACAGACAGAACAGGCACAGGATTACAAAGTTGGCATGTTTTTTTAAAAAGTTGAAGTGAAATTCACATAACAGAAAGTCCACAACTTTAAAGTATTCAACTCAGTAGCTTTCGGTCTACTCACAGAACTGGCAGCCATCACCTCTGCCCAGTTCCAAAATATCCTCATCACTTGAAAAGGAAACCCATGCCCCTTTAAGCAGCCGTTCCGGTTCCTCACCCCTCCATAGCCCCTGGCACCCACCGCCTGCCTTCTCCCCTGGGACTTAGCTACTCTTCGGGTTTAAGAAACGGCGTCACTAAATACCTGTCTTTTGCACCTGGCTTTTTTCACTGAGCTGTGGAAAGTTGATTCGCCTGCACTGCCGACAGTTTCAGCACTTATGCCTGTTCCTGGCTGAATAATATTCCATTTATGGATAGTCTGCTTTGGTTTATTCATTCTTCAGCAGATGCACGTGAGCGTGGTCCCCACCTTCTGGCTGCTGTGAGTAACGCTGCTGCAGCCTTCTTGGACATACGTGTGTCTGAACGCCTGTTTTCACACCTTTTGGTGTCTGTATCTAGGAGTGGAATTGCTGGGTCACAGGGGAATTCTGTTTCACTTTGAACCTGGGAGGTGAATGCTGGAATGGGCTGGAACCATCACACTCCTTTTTCCACAGCGCTGCGCAGTTTTATGTTCCCGCAGCTTTGTCTGAGGGTTCCCGCTCCTCCACATCCTCACGGACACACTGTTTTCTGGGGTTTGTACTTTTCACTTCTAGCCATCCTCGAGTGTGATGTTGAACCTCCTGATTTCAGTGTGTGCTTCCCCGATGACTGATGACGCCAAGCACTGTTTCATGGACTTTGGGGCCATTCTTAGACCTTCTTCGAAATGTTTGGTCAAGTCCTTTGCCCATTTTTTTTTTTTTTTTTTGAGACAGAGTTTCGCTCTTGTTACCCAGGCTGGAGTGCAATGGCGCGATCTCGGCTCACTGCAACCTCCGTCTCCTGGGTTCAGGCAATTCTCCTGCCTCAGCCTCCTGAGTAGCTGGGATTACAGGCACGCGCCACCATGCCCAGCTAATTTTTTGTATTTTTAGTAGAGACAGGGTTTCACCATGTTGACCAGGATGGTCTCAATCTCTTGACCTCGTGATCCACCCGCCTCGGCCTCCCAAAGTGCTGGGATTACAGGCATGAGCCACCGCGCCCGGCCCAGTTTGCCCATTTTTAAACTGGATTCTTTGTGTTTTCGTTGCTGAATTGTGAGTGTTCTTTATATATTCTGGATACTGGGTGCACATCAGAGGTGTAATTGGTGAATAGTTCTCTCTCATCGTGTAGGTTTCTTCATTTTCCGGAGATGTCCTTTGATACATTAAAATTAAATTTTTTAATTTTAGTGAAATCCAACTTATTTAGATGTCATACTAAAGCAAGAAATCTCTAACCTAAGGTCACAAAGATTCACATCTATGTTTTCTTCTAAGAACCTAATAGTTCATCTTTATTTTGAAGTGTCTGACCTAATATTTGTATAAGGTATGAGGTAGGAATCCAACACATTCTTTTGCATATGGAAATTCAGTTGTTCCAGTACCTTCTATTGAAAAAGCTGTTCTTTTTCCATCAAATGGTCTTAGCACCCTTGTTGAAAATCAATTGGCCATAGATATGTAGGTGTATTTCTGGACTCTCAATTCCAGTCCATTGGTCTGTATGTCCTGTCATCAATAACACACTATTCTGATTGTTGTAGCTTTGTGGTATGTTTTAAAATTGGGAAGAGTAAGTTTTCCATCTTTGTTTAAGATTCCAGATTGTTTATGGGGGGCAGAAAAAAAGACTGTTTTGGCTATTTCGGGTCCCTTTCAACTCTATATAAATTTTAGAAGCGGTTTTTCCATTTGCGAAAAAGAAAAGGCTGTTGGGATGTTCTTGGGGATTGCATTTACTCTGCGGGTTGCCTTGGGGAGTCTCGCCTCCTTAACGATATTAAGTCCTTTAATCCAGGAGCTCGGGATCTTTCCATTTATTCATTTCTTTAGGTCTTCTTCCTTAATTTTTTTCTTTTTGAGGCAGGGTCTCACTCATTGCTCAGGCTGGAGTGCAGTGGTGCCACCTCCCAGGATCAAGTGATTCTCCCGCCTCCGCCTCTGAGTAGTGCCACCACGCTTGGCTATATTTTTGTATTTTTTGTTTTGTTTTGTAGCGATGAGGTCTCTCTGCGTTGCCCAGGCTGGTCTTGAACTCCTGGGCTCAAGTGATCCTCCCACTTTCCAAAGTGCTGGGATTACCGGCATGAACCACTGTGACAAGCTTGGAATTGTTTTCTTAATATTTTTTTAGATTTTTCTTTGCTAATATATAGAAATGCAACTTTTTAATCAAAAAATACATTTTTGTAGTTTTGGTCCTCAACTGTAACCCTGGTTAAGTTGTCAGCTTTGAGAAGGTTTCGTTGAGTCGCAGAATTGTCTGCACAGGCTAATGTCGTCTGTGGCTGGAGAGCACCGCATTCCTGCCTTTCTGATTTGCTTACCTCTAATTTCTTTCTTTCCTCATTGCTCTGGCTAGGACTTCCGGTCCCATGTTGAGCAGAAATGGTCAGAGCAGACCCCCTTGCTCCTGACCTTGGGTGAAAAGTTTCAGCTGCCTGCATGTATGGTATTGGCTGCAGGTTTTTCATTCTTTCTTTTTATTTATTTATTTTTAATTTTTATTCCAATAACTTTTGGGGCACAAGGTTTTTTTGTTACTTGGATGAATGGTTAGTGGTCTGCTGAGATTTTAGTGAACCCCTCACCTAGATCATGTACATTGTACCCAATATGTGGTGTTTTATATCTGGCTTCCCTCCCAGCCTCCCCCTTCTGAGCTTCCAGAGTCCATGATATCACTCTGTATGCCTTTGTGTGTCCATAGCTTACCTCCCACTTATAAGTGAGAACATAGGATATTTGGTTTTTTCACTCCTGAGTTATTTCACTTAGAACAATGGCCTCCACTTCCATCCAAATTGCTGCAAAAGACATTATTTCATTCCCTTTAATGGCTGAGTAGTATTCCACGGTGTATCTATACCACATTTTCTTTATTTTATTTTAGTTTTTTGAGACAAGGTCTCACTCTGTCCTCCAGGCTGGAGTGCAGTGGCACAATCTCAGCTCACTGCAACCTTCACCTCCCGGGTTCAAGTGATTCTCCTGCCTCACCCTCCCAAACAGCTGGGACTACAGGCACCCGCCACCCAGCCGCACTAATTCTTTTTTTTTTTTTTTTTAAGACGGAGTTTCACCCTTGTTACCCAGGCTGGAGTGCAATGGCACGATCTCGGCTCACTGCAACCTCCGCCTCCTGGGTTCAGGCAATTCTCCTGCCTTAGCCGCCTGAGAAGCTGGGATTACAGACATGCGCCACCATGCCCAGCTAATTTTTTGTATCTTTGGTAGAGATGGGGTTTCACCATGTTGACCAGGATGGTCTCGATCTGTTGACCTCGTGATCCACCCGCCTCGGCCTCCCAAAGTGCTGGGATTACAGGCTTGAGCCACCGCGCCCGGCCTAATTTTTGTTTTTTAGTAGAGACGTGGTTGCACCATATTGGCCAGACTGGTCTTGAACTCCTCACCTCAGGTGATCTGTCCACCTCGGCCTCCCAAAGTGTTGGGATTACAAGTGTGAGCCACCGTGCCTGGCCTCATATACCACATTTTCTTTGTCCACTCATGAGTTGATGGGCACTTAGGCTCATTCTGTGTCTTTGCAGTTGGGAATTGTGCTGCTGTGAACATATGTGTGCAAGTGTCTTTTTCATATAACGACTTCTTTTCCTTTGGGTAGATACCCAGCAACAGGATTGCTAGATTGAATGGCAGAATGACTTTCAGCTCTTTAAGGAGTCTCCGTACTGTTTTCCAAAGTGGCTGAACTGATTGACATTCCTACCAGTGGTGTATAAGCATCCACCACATCCACGCCGACACCTATTATTTTCTGATTTTTTAATAATGGCCATCCTTGCAAAAGTAAGGTGGTAGCTCACTGTGGTTTTGACTTGCATTTCCCTGATGATTAGGGATGTTGAGCATTTTTTCTTCTGTCTGTTGGTCATTTGTATATCTTCTTTTGAGAATGTGCACCGTGGGATACTACTACATTAAAGGCAAGGAAATAATGTCTTTTTCAGCAATTTGGATGGAGCTGGAGGCCATTATTCTAAGTGAAACCTTCTCGTGTCCCTTACTCACTTTTTAGTGGGATTATTCGTTTTTTCTTGCCGGTTTGT